CCCAGAATTCTTAAGTTCTTTTTAGTATCTCGATATGTGCCTATGACTTATGTCTCTAATTGCCTTTTTTTGAACCTGTTTACCTTTTAGGTTGTTTGTAATCACACAATGTTTCCTTTTATTCCCCTTAAAAATCCCCTCTTTTGGGGAACATCACACACCGAGGTCTGTCAGGGGTGGGGGGCAAGGGGAAGTAAAACATTAGAACAAATACGTAATGCATGCAGGCCTTAAAACCTAAGATGATAGGTTGATGGTGAAGCAAACCACCATAGCACATGTATACCTATGTAACGAACCTGCACATTCTGTACATGGGTCCTAGAACTTAAAGAAAAATAAAAATTAAAAAAGGAAAAAAAGTCCCCTCTTATACACAGCAGGAATTGTCCTCTTCTCTGTCATTCTGGGTAGAGAGCTTTTCTGGAGGTCTTCCAGCTCCTTTACATCTTCCTAGAGGCCTGCACGTGATGTGCTCATGGCCCTCCAGATGCCTCTGCTGCTGACTCTGAGGAAGAGGGAGGGTAGAGAAACTCCTGCCTTGCCTGTTTGTAAACAGTTGCTATGTTCTAGTGTATAATATCCAAAAGGTAACTATCCTCCAAGAAAATAGCTGCTTTGAAAAGTACTTTTTATTGGTACAAAGATGGTATCACCATTATCAGACCTTAACAGGGTGACAAAGAGTGCCACTTACATGTGAAGTAGTCTGCAAGGTGTATAATGACTGCATCATGAGGATGGATTTCCCCTTTGTTGTTCTCATGCTAGTGAGTGAGTTCTCATGAGATTTGATGGTTTAAAAGTGTGTGACACTTCCCCCTTCAGTCTCTGTCTCTCCTGCTGCCATGTGAAGAAGTTATTTGCTTCCCCTTTTCCTTCTGCCATGATTGTAAGTTCCCTGAGGTCTCTCCAGAAGCAGAAGCCTGTATAGCTCATAGAACCATCAGCCAATTAAACCTCTCTCTTTTATAAATACCCAGTCTCAGGTAGTTCTTGAGTGTCAGTGCCTCCGCTGCTGACTGTGAGGAGGAGGAAGAGACGAAAACGCTTGCTCTTCACATATATAATCTCATTTTACAAACTGCCATCTTAGAGAGTAGTATCTATCACAGTGCTGTGCATAAACTATTTGCTGTGAAAATATATGAATAGTTTTATTTCCAATGTTTGCAGATAATATCCAGGAATTTCAACATGACTTTATATTTGATAGCATAGCTTTGTGATTGCTAACTGTGAAGAGCTGGATACTGTTTGTGAAATAAACAATAATAATCATCAATCATCTGTACTACCCTTTGCCAGGAACTTGGCATTCATTATCTTGTATAATTTTCACAGCAACCCTAATTCGTGGGTACTAATATTAATCCCATTTTAAACACAAGGATTAGAAGCTTTAAGAGATTAAATCATTGATCTAAAGTCACATAGCTGATAAGCTTCAAACCCAAGTCTTCCATCTCCAGGGCCCCCACAGTAGATTACTGAGAATCAAGGCAATTTTTCTCTACCCTGTTAATTTCTATGAAGTAAACATCATTCTTTATATAGAAAGAGCCAGAGATTAAAATCACAAATCATAACATCTATTATGTAACATTCAACTAAGAGAATCCTTTGAAAGGATCATTTTAACAGGGTTTTTTTAAAATAGTTTCTAAACTGTGTTTTATTAGCCCACTATCAGCTAACTCTTTTCAACTTTTCAAAGGTAAATAGGCAAGCACCCATATCTGCTTAATGAATGTATGGTGTAAGTGTGTGATTCAAAGACATGACCCAGAATTTAGTCAGCCCATCAGCTTCACTTTTCCTCTCAAGGAACCAAAATCATAGCGCTGCATTCTGGCTAATAAACTACCACCAACATTTTATTTAGTGAGTTTACATGTCAGTTACTTAAAATATGAATTAATAATAGTAATGTCTATAACTTAAAGTATGAAAATATTTGTAAATGATTTCCTGAGTAGAAAAAAAGTGTGTATTTCTGAATCATAGTCTTATTCTTTCTTTGTCTCCTAAATAGGTTTTGCTTAAGAAAATGTCTTAGGAATTAGTGATGAGTTGGACAAAAAATTATAGATTAAGGTATTAAATACCACAAGGCTCTTGCACGTTACTTTTTCATTCCATGTGGTTTCTGCTTTAAAAAAGTGTTACCTACTTTTGAATAATTGCACTTTGTTTTCAATATCTAAATATATCTGAACTTTCTTAGAATTCTAGAGAGCACTGATTTTGACAATTACTTTGTTGGCTTTAAAAGGACTAAGAATTCACTATAATTGAGCTCTACATTCAAAAGAAGCCAGGTGCATTAAATTTTGTCTTAGCTGTATGGTATTTTATGAATGTCAAGAGATGGCCAGTTTTCAGATCTTATCTTTGATGATATAAAATAAAGTAGTTATACTTTAATGCTTGCTAAATGCTCACACCCATGCTAAGCCCTTGGCATGCATAATCTCTTTAATACTTACTTAATCTTACTGAGCCTCGGTTTTCTCATTTGTGAAATGAGAGTAATAAGAACCCCTACCACATAGACTGGTTCTAACCTATTAAAGGTCACATGGCTCATTAGTAGAAGAGTTGGGATTTGATTACAGGTATATCCAGCTCTAAACTACCAAGTCCTAACTACTATACTATAGTGGACACAGATAAATATGTCCTCCGTATCTAAAAGTTTGTCCTCATGGCCCTAATGGACTCTTTTATATAGCCAACATGGTGAAAGCACATCTCTACTAAAAATACAAAAATTAGCTGGATGCAGTTGTACACTCCTATAATCCCAGCTACTCGGGAGGCTGAGGCGCAAGAATCGCTTCAACTGGGGAGGTGAAGGTTGCAGTGAGCCAAGATCGCACCACTGCACTCTAGACTGGGTGTACGCTCTAGCCTGGATGACTAAGCAAGACACCATTTAGAAAAAAAAAAAAAGATGGGCAAAGCTGTTTCGTTGTAACTCTCTATATACTATCTGCCCAGACATCTGTTTATAAGTCGTCTGAGCCATTCTCAGGGAAGACACAATTTGCTTTATTAATTTGCTTTTCTGGAATCTTTTTAGACCTGCAGTTTAGCAAATTGTAGCCTGTTTAGCAGTTACTAAAATGTACTGAAATTCACTTTCAGCATGATTTACAGAAAGGAGCCCAAGGAGGTACCTTATACAAACTCAGAATTAGCCTGTTCTCCATACAGACTGCCCCCAATTATGGCCTTATTGACTGATATCCAGAATCACATACATTTCTCTTGATCTCTCCAAGGAAATCTCTTTATCCTTCAACACACTGGTTTCAGGAAAAGGAGGCAACTGACTTTAAATCTGCAGCACGGGTTTAAGATAAAAGTCTGTCATTGAAGCTGCGTGGTTTCAGAGAACCTTAGTTTCTTCATGTACAAAATGGGAATAGTATTTTCCCTGCTTGTCCCCTCAGTTGTTTCAAAAATCAAAGTAGAAAAGTACCCTACAAATGAGAGATAAAGTGGCATTATCTCAAAGGCAAAAAGGTTTGGGGCCAAGCAGATTTAGGTTTAAAGCTTGATTTTGGTGCTTACTAGCTGCATGATTTTGGACACATATTTCAACCTGAGCAATTGTAAAGATTAAAGGAGATATACCATCCATCTGCAATACAACAAACTCTAGCTCAGGCTTGTCCAATCCACAGCCCGAGGACGTGTAGGTCGGATATGCGGCCCAGGATGGTTGTGAATGCAGCCCCAAATTTGTAAATTTTCTAAAAACATGAAGAGATTTTTTGTGGAAAATTTTTAAGTTCATCAGTTATTATTAATGTTAGTGTACTTTTTGTGTGACCCAAGGCAATTCTTTTTCCAGTGTAGCCCAGGGAAGCCAAAAGATTGAACACTGCTGCTCTAGCTAACAGGATTTCTTGATTAGCATTTGGTTATAGGTAGTCATAGAGTAAGAAAATAAAGGGAGGAAATATTAAAAGGGCATGAATGAAGATGTAAATTGATGCCATACAGAAATATGATATGAGTTTATGGTAATCTGAATGTGACCTGCATGATTTTAGTCTTCCCAATAGAGTATTAGATAGCTAGCAACAAACTACAAAATTACAACAGTCTTTCATTAAACTGTCTTTTCTCTAAAGAGTCACAAATTGCAGATGAAATCTAAGTCTAGATTTCATCTTTTGACCATGTGGCTGCAATATAAAGTTCTTCAGTGAAAATCTGTTAAATAGATATGTGCTTGCTCTTCTCTGGAACCTTTCCAATGTTCTATGCTGCTCAAGTTTATCAACACAGTTAACAAGGTCTTCCAAAGACCCATTAAATGTATATCATGTGCCTAACTGATGAAGTTGTGCCCACGAAGATGATGTATGCAAAGTCCTATGATCATGCTGTGGAAAAAGTTGGTTATTTTATATTTCTTCTGGATCAACAGGTGAGTTTAGTACAACATATGCTTTTTTTTTTTGAGACAGGGTCTCACTTTGCCCAGGCTGGAGTGGCAGTGGGATGATGATGGCTCACTGCAGCCTCGACCTCCCTGGGTGATCTCCATCTCAGCCTCCCAAGTAGCTGGAACTACAGGCACACACCACCACTCCAGACTAATTTTTTCTGTAATTTTTAGAGACAGGGTTTTGCCATGTTGCTCAGGCTGGTCTCCAACTCCTGGGCTCAAGAGATCTGCCAACTTCGGTCTCCAAAAGTGTGGATTTTACAGGCAGGAGCCACCACACTCAGCCAGCGTACTCTTTTTTTTAAATAACTTTGATTATGCTTTAGATAAATTTCCTTTTTGAGGGTATGAAGAAAATACTCATGTGTTAAAATATTTTAGAGGTCAGAAGAAACAGCAATTGAAATATGATAAATGAACAGTAAAACTAAAAATAGAATGTTTCTCTTGAAGTGTAAAATCCTTCAAGTCTCTGAAGCATAGTAAAATGTGCTGCTTCTACATTGTTGCTTTTGTTTTGCTTTGTCTTCCCTAGAATGACTACAAAAAACTGTCAGTGCAGTGCAAAGACTTTGTTGTTGGACTCCTTGATCTGTGCAGAAACACAGAAGAAGTCGAGGCCATTCTGAATGGGGATGTTGAAACGCTCCAGAGTGGTGATCATGGTCGCCCAAATCTCAGCCGTTTAAAACTTGCCATTAAATATGAAGTGAAAAAAGTAAGGTCAGGCATGAAGCCCGTTTACATTATTTTGGTTCTTGTTGGTGCTAAATAAGGATAAAGGGTTGATATTGTTAGATTGAGCTGGAATTTTCTAAATAACGTTTGTACTAGGCAGATTCTCTCACAAATCATAAGCATCTGTACTAGCTGTGGGGCACTTTACCTACACTAAATGTCAGTCTTTAAAATCTAGACGTATTGAAACAGAACTTTGCAGGGATTGCCACTTTCTTTGACTGGGCTAATGCTATAACAATGACTTCATGTATCCAAATTCTAAAATATTTTTTATAAGACAAGAACATTACTATTTGAGACTTAACTCCATTATCCCATTTGTTGCTGTTTTCCAATAATGCCTTCAGTTCCTTCTTTACTGCATTAGACTTTCCTCCAGCTGCATCTTCATTTGTGAAACATTTTTAGTCTCTGTCTTCAAGCATTGTCCCCATTCTCTACTTTCTTAGATTATATAAGATATCTTTTAAAAAGTTGGCCAGGCGCAGTGGCTCATGCCTGTAAACCCACCACTTTGGGAGGCCTAGGCAAGTGAATCACTTGAGATCAGCAGCTGGAGATGAGCTTACGCAATGTAGTGAAACCCTGTCTCTACTAAAACTACAAAAATTAGCTGGATGTGGTGGTGTGCACCTGTAGTCCCAGCTACTTGGGAGGCTGAGGTGGGAGAATCATTTGAAATCTGGTGGCAGAGGTTGCAGTGAGCCAAGTTCATGTCACTGCACTCCAGGTTGGGTGATAGAGTGAGACTTTGTCTCAAAATAAGTAAATAAATAAAAAATAAAAATGTTTTTAAAGGTAGATTTTTCTAATAAAAGTAACATATGCCTATGATAAGTTTTCAAATACTATAAACATGTCTCCTCCCCATTTTTCCAGTTCTGAATGAAGAATAAGGAACCATTGTTATGTTTCTCAACACAAATTTCTTTCTTGGACAACTTCACCTATCAGTCAATAAATGTCCACTTGATCTTTTTAAAGGATGCATTGTTATCTCATTATATTCATTTAATCTGTTTACTATTTAGGGATGTTTATGATAATTTTCAGATTTTTGTTACTACATTTTTGTTTATTTTTTATGCAGCAAACATATTTGTTCATATAGCTTGCTTACTTGCGTGACTTTTACCTGTAAACAAAAATTCTTAGATGTGGAATTAATATGTCAAATTTTTATTTTTAGGTTTCCAAACATTTGCTAGGTTTCCCTTCAAAAATGGTATACCAGTTTCCATACACACCAACAGCGTGTGACTGGGCTTATTTCTTCCACCTGCAATGGTATTATCCAACTTTACCATTCTGAGTGGATAAACATTTTATCTTGTTTTAATTACCTTTGAGGTTAACCAACCTTAAGATGCACTTGTAGTTCTTTTATATAATCTGTCCTTTGTATAACCTTTTAATATTCTTTACCAATTTTTATTTTAGAATATTGCTTTTTGTATATTAAATAACTCTGCCATATGTATGGCTCAGTTGTAAAAATAAATATATGAAAATTTAAAAAATGCCCTCAAAAAATAAATATTGAAATTTAAAGCCTTCTTAATTAAAAGAGACTTTGCACAAGAATAGAAGGAGTGATCAACAGAACAGAATAGGCAGTCCAGAAACAGACCCATATTCAAATGGGAATTTAGTATAAAATGTGTGACATTTTAGGTCAGTGCAGGAAAAGTGTTATTTTTTAAAAGTATTTAGGCAACTGAGTTAATATGATACCTTTCTAGATGAAAAACAATATAATCATAAAAGCCCTATGTAAAACATAGATTAATCTTTTTATAATATTGAATTAAAATTTTTTCTATGCTTTGAAAGAAAGCTCATTAGTCAAAAAGGAAAAGTTCAATAAATTGAAATCTTCAAATTTATGTAAAATATATGGCAACAAGCAAATGGCAAAAGTTTATAATGTTTCATGTTTGCTCTTTAATTCTAACTATATTTCTAATGTTTTATATTTGCTCTTTAATTCTAACTATATTTCATCAGAATGCATGGAAGTATTAAAATTGTTTATGCTGAACCTTTCTTTAATCAAACTGTTAAATGTTTCATCACTTCACTGCTAGTTTGTAGCTCATCCAAACTGCCAACAGCAACTTCTCTCCATCTGGTATGAGAATCTTTCTGGTTTACGACAGCAGACAATGGTGGTCAAGTTCCTTGTGGTCCTTGCTGTTGCCATTGGACTGCCCTTCCTGGCTCTGATTTACTGGTTTGCTCCATGCAGCAAGGTATGTATGTGAAGCTTGGACCTCTATTATCCACCAGAAATGTGTCTTACGTGGGGAAAAAATCTTATCTCCAAAATGAAAATTTCAGGGAATTATAGTTGAGTTTCAGTAATCTTTATTGTTTGTAATATTACAAAATAATACTTGTTTGAGTTTAAATAATTTTTATTACTTTTAATATTTTAAAATAATACATATTTGCTATAGGAAACAAAAAAGTGGAAAAGTTGAAATTCACCTGTAATATCACCACTGTTAATGTGTGAAGGAAAACTCAGTAACTATATTTGTTTATTTCCTTTGACTCTTCTCTATATACATCTATGCATATACTTTTATATATCTTAACAAGGTCATAGTACCATTGAGCATGTATTTCAAATGACATCCTAAAAGTTAAACACTTTCTGTTTCTCCTCTGGCAAAATTTGAGATGAAAGTTTTGTCTTGTATTTATTTTAGATAATAGGACCAGATAAATCTTAAATGAAAGGCCATCATGTAAATACTAATTAATACTTGTTTCAGTAAAGAATATATATATTTTTAGGGAGTAAGTACACCAGAACCTGACAGCAGAAATAGCCTATTTTCTTAGCAAAAGCTATCTGCCCAGACTTTGGTAAAAATGCTCTGTTCAGATGGATCTAGCCTTTCATTGGTGTGACAGGATAGGTTTGAGAAATATTGACCAACCATTCTGTTAACAAGTAGAGGAATTTGTGTCCTGCATTGCTAACAAGCCTATTCTTCATGTTTTTGAAGCCACATGCCTGGATCTGTTTAACTCTGAGAAGCAGATTGAAATAATTCTGAAGCTTAGTGGCTAAGTGTCTGCTGGCTATTAATGTGCTGTGTAGAAAGAACTATCAGTAGGGTCACTTCCCCTGCTTAAACATGGGCATGATTCATTTTCAAATGTTCATAATATGTGGGCGCAAAGACAAACATCACTATTACTAACATGTTGTTTTGTAATTACTTGGTAATATAAGTGGTGTTTTAGCCATATAAGGACTGTTCAAAATGACTCATGCTAGAAAGCTTGTGCAAAGCCTTTTAGACAGTGGAAACATAATTATTTCTAGTAATGATGACAGGAACTACTGGAAACTGGACATTTTCTCATGACAGTGAAATTCATCATCATAGATATTTTTCCCTTAAAAATATATAAGGCCAAAATTTGGTATCTTAGATACATAAAATATAAATGAGGAAAATAAAATGAAAATAGTGCAATTTACTAGAAATGATATCTATAGTACAGATTTTCATCTAGAAAGTTAAATTTTCCCCCTTTTTAATATAAATGACAAATTTTGCCTGGAAAAATAATGTGTATACATGGACATAGAGTGTGGAATGATAGACATTGGAGACTTAGAAAAGTGGAGGTGCAGAAGAGGGATGGGTGGTGATAAATTATTTAATGGGTAGAATGTGTATTATTTGAGTGACTGGTACACTAAAAGCCAAGACTTCACCACTATGCAGTGTAACAAAATTGCACTGATAACCCTTAAATTTATACAAACACATTTCTAAACCGTCCTCACTAGAATATAAGTTTTATCTATGTAGGTAGTGTCTTTGTTCTTCTTCTCCTTCTATTTCCTGATTCATCTGAGATTTAAACTAAATTAAACTGGGGGGAGTTTTTGAATTATACCTGTTCTCATTCTGTAACCAGTTAAATTATAACCTCTTTTCTAAACTGAATAATTTTCCTTGTCCATAACCAGTGTGTTAGAAAGCATATCTTCCAGAGTGTCTGGTGCTTTGACAGAGACTATTTTTGGCAGTCCTTAGAGTTACACATTTCTTAAATTTTGATTGAATTCTAATTAAACTGACTTCCTTTACTATTTCTTCTTCCCTGGTCATATTTCTTTCTGGCATCTGTTTTCCATTCTCGTTTATGAACATTGAGGCTAATAATCAAATTTAAAGGACACTGTCAAGGTAGTTTTTTTTCTCCTATCCAAAACATATTTTACTGTTTACTATTTTATCCTTTGAAGCATGATGATAAAACCAATTTTACAGTTTTCCATTTGCAACAAACATAAATATGCTTTCGAGTCCACAGGATTTTTTGTGGGAGGAGATTGTTTCAGATAAATTAGTGGTTTTATTCCAAATATATTTAAAATATTTTGGATTTTACAATATATCTATGAACATTAATAAGATCAAATTGCAGGCCTATGCACTGTGACTGAGTGAGTCCCTATTTCTATTTAAAGTTGGTTTTGCTATAGGAAACAATAGTTGGTTTTCTTTTTTCCCCTTTCCAAAATTCCTTTTTTTTCCCCACTTGCTCTCTTTCTTATACTATAGTCCAAATATCAATTATTTTTGCTCATTACAATAAAAATAGTCACACTGTAATTTCAGATAATTTTAGTTTAAGCTCGTCTCAACCTTTTTCATTTCTCGGTAGTATTGAGCAGCTAGGTATTTAGTCATCAATAAATACCTAAAGAGAGTACGACATATAATATTTAAAGACAGGTATTTATTTCAATCCTTATCCTCAGTCGTTTTCCAGGTACATCAGTTGTTCAGTTTCTTCATCTAGCTCTCCTACTTTGCAGTTTTTTTTACTAAAAAGGGTAACTTGCTTTAATTCCTAAAGTCTAATGAGAGATGCCCAAATTGCCCTTAAAGAGAAATGCAATTCTCAAATTTTGTAAGAAAAGTAAAGGCTGTGAGGTTTCAAACATGCCCATTTTAGTTTCTAGGCAACCAGCTTTTTGTTTGCTAAACAAAACAAAACAAAACAAAAAACCACCAACAAACAAACCAAAAAATACCCTCAGACTTAATAAGCAGAAGAAAATGCCTGGATTGATACTCCCTTTAGAATAAAATAAAGGAAGAGTAATATGATGTAATGGTCAGTAGGCCAATGGAGAAAAAAGAGAAGCCAGGTAGGGGTGAGGCACACAGATCAGACACCCTGCCCTGAAAATTGATATTCTGTGTCTGGCCTGACATTCAAAATGTCAAGAGAAGTTATGAACTACATGATTGGTTCCAGATCTAATTTTTATGATTTTGAAAACCACATAGACAAATAAAGGTATAGAAATAGAGAACACCAATTGTGTTCCTTCCATGACAGCATTTATCTTTTCCAAGTCTTAAAAGATAATTCCTTGTTTCCACTAATAATTTATATATGTAGGCACATTGATGAGAAAGTATGAAATTATTCTGTAAACCAAATAGAAGTATTGACTCAGGAACAAGAGTGCCTGGGTTCAAGTTCCAGTTCTACCATTTATGAGATATGTGACCTTGGACAAGTTTCTTGACCTCACTTCCTCAGTTTCTTCATCCAAAGCAGGCATTTGAGTGCACCTACCCTTTTGTTGTGATGATTATGAGTTAACAGTGTAAAACACTTAAACAGTGCCAACTAAGTGTTGGTTGTATTTTATTAGTTTGTAAAGTTTTCTGTAATACCTCGTTTGAAACACTGCTGAAAGCTGTGGACCGTCTCCTAAAGGGCAGGGGGAACTGCACATACAGTTTGAGTTTTGTTCATTTCAGAGGATGTCCAGACCTCTTAGTCACATCCTAGATCCTCACTCTGCCTAGGTGAAGATCTGTACATCTCAGACAGAAATGAATCTTGTACTATAAAAGGCACACTAGCTTTTATTGTCCCCATATTTCATATAAAGTCTGGTTTTCACATAATTTGGAAATGTGCTCATTGTTACTCAACTAAGAAGGGAATGAAACTGGAACCTGAACCTAAAATGTTGGACTTTAAATCCAGTGTCCTTCCAGAACATTGTTCCAGTACTGCCCTGCTGCCCTACCCTCAACTGGGAGTTCTCTTCTTGGTACTCATGATATATATATTTTTTGAGATGGAGTCTTGTTCTGTTGCCAGGCTGGAGTTCTCAGTGCAACCTCCACCTTCCGGGTTCAAGCGATTCTTCTGCCTCAGCCTCCCACCTAGCTGCAACTACAGGCGTGTACCACCATACCCAGCTAATTTTTGTATTTTTAGTAGAGACAGGGTTTCACCATGTTGGCCAGGATGGTCTTGATCTCTTGACCTCATGATCCACCCACCTTGGCCTCCCAAAGTATTGGAATTACAGGCATGAGCCACCATGCCCAGCTGGTACTCATGACTTTTACTGCATTGACAACATCACCAGAATAGCAAAATCCACTCAGGCCTGTCAATGGAGTATATGTGAGGACAACCACCAAGGTTCTATACCTTGTGAAGTAGACTCAGCTTCATATTTTCATTGCCACTTCCTCAATATATCAGGCCCACTAAATTAGTTTGCTTTACATGAATAATGCTGATATTATGCTCTACATTGTCTCCACAATATTATATATTTTAAGAATTTAAATATCCTTTATTAGAAAAATACATTTATTTAGCTATTAATCGAGAACATTGGCACATGTAGGTGAAGAATGTGAATAGAATTTTATAACAGCATAAAGATATCACTCTATCATGAATTACATAAATATAAACAATTATCTCAGGAGAACACTGGAATATGCAGATGTTTATTCTTGCATGTATTTATGTATGCTTTGCAACATGTACAAAACAAAGTTCAGATTTTCTTTTGGTGTGTGTTGTGGCAGATGGGGAAGATAATGCGTGGACCATTCATGAAGTTTGTAGCACACGCAGCCTCCTTCACCATTTTTCTGGGACTGCTAGTCATGAATGCAGCTGACAGATTTGAAGGCACAAAACTCCTTCCTAATGAAACCAGCACAGATAATGCAAAACAGCTGTTCAGGATGAAAACATCCTGCTTCTCATGGATGGAGATGCTCATTATATCATGGGTAATAGGTAAAGACTGATTTTCTGTCATGATTTCTCTTTGCAGCCTTAACAGTTGGATTGAATGACACTGATTGTTTCACACATCAGTTATACAAATGTGTGCAATATGATACAATGCACTGCACATCATAATTTTCTTTGTGTTCTTAAAGCACAGTTGCCTTGGGTTTGTTATCAGTGCCATAGTCTCACATGCTGTGCGCTTTTTGCATTTCCAAGGAAAACCCAGGAAGAAAAACAACAGGATAGTATCAGTCATACCCCACCAGTGACACAAGGCTATTATAATATTCATATTTTGAGAGAGAGCTGTGATTTCAAGCTTAAAAACAACCATGATTTTACATTGAAATTTGATAGGAATTGAAGCACTTGCATTTATTGAACATTTATTATATGTCAGGAATGACTCCAAGCACTTTATATACATCAAATCACATTCTCTGCATCTCAATTTCCTAATCTATAACATATCATCACTTATGTTTCATAGGAGTTATGTAAGGATTAAGTAATTTACTTTAGGACTCCTGGGTGGTAAGTGAAAGAGAAGGAGTATGGTCTTAGTTATACTATTTGTCTTTAGAATCAATCATACGTGTACCTTGCCATTAAATATAATGCAAACAAGAAAGATACTTCAATTAGATATTTATGAATAAATAAATCAATCCAGTGGCTAAGTGCCTTTGCTAAGTAATGAGGATACTAAAGTGAATGAGACATAGTCCCTGTGCTCAAGGAAGTTAAGTCTGGGAGGCAGGTCAGTAAGTAAATCAATAATTAAAATTCAACATGACAAATGCTATAATTGAGGAGTTATTGGGATATTATGAACATACGCAGATCGGGCATCTAAATCTGAGGTGGGATGTGAAGTGGAAGGGGCAAGAAGTCCTTCCTGGGCAGTGCCTTCAATTTGGTACTTTAAGAGAATGTTATCCAGACTTGTTTGGGGGACAAGGATACTACAAGGCACAGGAACATTAGAGATGTGGAACTATGGCAACACCTGGCACACTCGAAATATGATGAGTTAGGCAGAGAAGGAGCCGGGGTGCGTTTATGGATGTGAGTAAGGTGAGATAAGGGTGGAGAAATGGCTAGAGGATGCTTTTCAGCAATGGGCGATCTGATCTGATCATGTTTTAGAAAGGTCACAGTGGTTGTGAGATCGAAGCTGGCTTTAAAGAGTCCAGAGGCTGAGACTCAGTGGAAGTGCTCCCGGTGAGAGGGATGAGGCCTGGAACTCAGGAGATGGAGGAAAGGACTTGAGAGCACCCTAATAGGTAAACCCCAAACAACTTGGCGATTATTGCACATCAGGAGGGAGAGCTGTGGGTTCTGCCCTGGATCAGCTGGGAGGGACTGCAGTCTCTAAGAGGGAGAATAGAGAAGGAAGATCATGCTTGGGACTGGAGGAATAAAAAGCTGATAATGTTTAGATTATGATTGACTTTGAAGTGTCCATGGAATTTCAAGGTGGAAATGTCCATTCAGTAATAGAAAATATGATCCCTGGGAGTATTTGGGTTTTGAGTAAAGTTCCAGCAATCTTGAATTCCCAGATGGCACAACAGACATGTTCAAGAAATTTCAGGTAATTGTAGTTATTCAACTTTTCACTAAGAGCTTATATGTCAGTTTTACATAGGAGCGCTATTTTCCTATTAGGTAAAATATGACTGTTTTAGAACAAGATGAAACTTTGAAAAATTAAATATTATATAAGGGGTAAAGAATTTAAAAAATTTTATATAAAGGGCTATGAGGAGAATGATTTATGGTAAAGAATAAAATGAACATATTATAATTTATTTATATTTTCGAGATGGAGCTTCACTGTTGTTGCCCAGGCTGGAGTACAATGGCATGATCTTGGCTCACTGCAACCTCTGCATCCTGGGTTCAAGCAATTGTCCTGCCTCAGCCTCCTGAGTAGCTGGGATTACAAGCATGTACCACACCCGGTTAATTTTTTTTTTTTTTTTTTTTTTTTTGTATTTTTAGTAGAGACAGCATTGTCCATATTGGTTAGGCTGGTCTTGAACTCCTGACCTCAGATGATCCACCTGCCTTGGCCTCCCAAAGTGCTGGGATTACAGGCATGAGCCACTGTGCCTGGCCAGACATATTATGTTTTATATATAAAACATGTATAAACTTAAAAGCACACTAATAGGTAAACCCCAAACAACTTGGTGGTTACTGCACATCAGAAGGAAGGACCTGTGGGTTTTGCCTTGGATCAATAGATAGTGGCTGCAGTCTCTAAGAGGGAGAATAGAGAAGGAGGATCATGCCTGGGACTGGAGGAATGAAAAGCTCCGAAAACAACTAGACTACATGGGTTCAGTGAGTTATATTTTATATAACATGTTCATTTCATTCTTTACATAAATCATTCTCCTCATATACATTTTTTCCTTTTTCATTTAGAAACCTAAGACAGGAATATTAAATGAAGCTTTAATCAAAAGCATTTTCCTCATAACTTTTGTCCCATCAGCCTTTGTATTTGACTTCAGAGACTAGGGCCAGTTATTTATTTAAAGGAAAAATAATGAACAACTCAGGACAGCTGATGCTTTTGTAGCCTATGTTAGACTTCTGGTTCAGTTTCTGACACTGGTATTTATTTTCTTTTTTGAAGTTATTCTTGAAAGAAAGTTGTTGTACTTTCTGGAAATGTTAATAAGAAGTGGCCTACTTAGATGAGATATTGGGTGTGTTATGTGGGCTTGAGGGAGAGAGTGACACTGAGTCACAAGGCAAATTTATCTCATTTTTATTTGACAAAAAGTTGAAAGGCTGAATGACAAAACCGATGTGCTAGGAGATGTTGACCAGACAGAACAGTGAGTTCAAATCAATGAGAGGATGTATGCCAGGAACACAGGGAGGAGGGCATGCTTGAAGACACTCGTAAAAAGGGCCTTAGGAGCACTTGTCACTTAATGGCCAGTCTGAGCTCTTGAGAAAGCAGATGCAGTCCTGGGCTGACTCTTCAACAGAAGGAGAGGAGCCCAGTCGAGGGCAGTAATTACTCTATGGCCAGACCACACCGGCAGGCTCCGGGTGTCACGCACAGCTAATTGGCAAACTAAGAAGAGTTTCAAGCACAGCAGTTAGGAGAGTGAGTGGTTCTCAGAACAGCTCTTGAGGGGACTGGGGAAGTTTACCCTAGACGGTGAGGCATGGGGTAAGATCCAGTGGAATCTGAGGCTTGTTTATTCCAAGGGCTCCATTTAGAGAAAAAGAAGACAAAGTGAGGACTTAGGAGCCTGGGCAAGTAAAGGCATCTTGAAGCTTCAGTTTCATGGTTAACCTGCCCCTGCTAGCAAAAAACAAATTTAATGAGCACACAGGTGGGATTTTTTGGTTGTTTTTTTTTGTAAAAAGAAATTTGAAGACAGAGGGAGCTGACTCATTTGCTACCTCTCCAGAGGGCAAAAATAGAACCAGTGGATCCACATCGAAGGAATATTCCGAAAATTCAACAGTGGAATGAGCAACCTTCAGAATTAGTTAAGCACCTTATCGTAAGATCTATACAAGCAGAGGCTTGATTCCTGTGAAGTCTCCTGCTTGGGGAGAGCATGAACTTGATACAAGATTTCAGAGTCTGCTTAGCAGCTCTCAGGGTTTCTCAGGACAAATGAGACAGGAACTTTTCCTTTGAGCAGAATAATTCACTGCTTTGTTTTAGTTTTTAAACTTCAGGAAGACATCATTTGTGCTAAGAATTCTACTTCTTAAAGAGAGGTAGAGAAAACATTGGTACCAAGAATTCTACTTCTTAAAGAGAGAAAGATAACAGAAGATGGAGAAGTGGGAGGAACAAAAGGAGGGGAAGCTTTGAAAACAACTAGACTGCATGAGTTCAAATGTCCCTTTGGTCCCCATGCTTGTTACTCTGAACCATCCTCATCTCCTAGTGAGGCTGACAGGAACCCAGGGAAGAAGTAGGGGGAAAAAGCTGCCATGTTTCCTGTTATAAATTTGATCCCCCAGATTATATATGAATTCAATCCTAGTCCTCTCTTAACTTGAAACGACTCAAAATATGTAATGATGTCTTTTCTTAAATCTATGTCCTCTGTGCTGCATTGAATACTGGTTTTGAGAAAAGGCACATGATGTGCTCTTGGAGAGCAGAGACAGGGCATTTTCTTAATCCCTACAGGGCTATGCAGCCATTCACATAGCAGGTTCTGTGATTGACATTTAGGGCAAATGTGAGAATCTGGGGCAGGTGGTTGCTGAGGGTGAGGAGAAGATTAATTTCAACTAGAGGCTGTGAAGGACTTCTCCATGGAGGCAAGTTTTGATCAATTGTTGCTGTTTGGGATGTGTTTCTCCAAATGGCTCCATAGGGAGGCAGGATGTCATAGTAGGGTATCTTAAAGACAATGGGGATAAAGCCACTTCTTTTTAATTTAAAAAGTGGGGCCGGGCGCGGTGGCTCAAGCCTGTAATCCCAGCACTGTGGAAGGCCGAGGCGGGTGGATCACGAGGTCAAGAGATCGAGACCATCCTGGTCAACATGGTGAAACCCCGTCTCTACTAAAAATACAAAAAATCAGCTGGGCATGGTGGCGCGTGCCTGTAATCCCAGCTACTCAGGAGGCTGAGGCAGGAGAATTGCCTGAGCCCAGGAGGCGGAGGTTGCGGTGAGCCGAGATCGCGCCATTGCACTCCAGCTTGGGTAACAAGAGCGAAACTCCGTCTCAAAAAAAAAAAAAAAAAAAGTGGGATTATTCAAATTAAGAAAAAAATACATGTGCCAATCATGGAAAATTTTAAATAGTAAGCATTCAATAAATGTCATATTTTTTTCCAAGTACCAGACACTGAGCTGTGTATTTCACATGGACTATTTTATTTAAGGCTCAAAACAATCTAGTGAAGCAGGATCGAATCAATATCATTCCCGTTTTACAAAATGAGGTTTAGATAGTTTAAATATCTTATCAAAGACTTCATAGCTGACAAATGGAAGAACAAATTCTCAAATTCATGGTAGTCTTATCTCAAGTTTAGTTCCTAAGTACTATGCTAAAATTTTGAACAAATATGCAGTACTATTAATAATGCCATCAGAAAAAGGCAACTACTATTAATAAAAGTTCCTGTCATCCCTTCTAGGCTTTCACTGTGCTGGTTTTAAACATTTTTACTTAGCATGACAATATAAATTTTTTCCAGTGGATGTTAGTCCTGGTCATGTTCAACAGGTTTATTAAGGAAAATGGAAATTTTATTAAGGAACATTTCTTTTGAGAGGAAATGGCTAGAGAGCTGAGGAAAGTCTCAGGAGCTCTCTGACAGGGATGCAAGTCAAACCCCAAGGGACAGAGAGCAGGCAGGAAGGTTGCGTAGAAGCATCCTAGATCTTTACACAATCTAAGGGAAGTTTGGCAAGGCTGTCATGAAATCCTTGAGCTAAAGTCAGCCATCAGAAGAGTCCCATGTCTTTCAAGAAGAGGCACCCTCAGTAATCAGCTGAGAGCAGCCTGGGGAAACACGGCTTTGAACAAAAGTGGCCATGGTTTTCAAAAGACAGTAGGTGAGGCCTGTGATCAATCAAATTCCTATAATTGTGTGTCACTGAGGCACATTCTCATGGTCACTGTCCCATGGTAATTAATAAAATATCATATTAAGACTGCATAATATTCCATCTGTGGAAGTTCCACTTCCATTTTACTTCCATTTTGAGTGTGTGGGGTTATTATAAGGTCTCCTATAATAAACATCTTTTAAATACATTTTTACATGTGGAATTAATTGATCAGCAGGATGTTTGTTATTTTTAAGGTGTTCAGTGAACTTTGTAAAATTGCTTTGAGGTATGCACTGATATTTCTAGACTATGATATTTGTGAGGATTTGGGGATTATGGTGGGATGGCAGGTTGGGGACAAATTTTGAAGGGTTTTGTAATAGCCTGAGACCTTTCAGACATATATATTTTTTTTATAGAACAGCTAAGACTGAATGCGGTTGAATTGATATTTTAACCCCTTTCTGCTGCAGGCATGATATGGGCTGAATGTAAAGAAATTTGGACTCAAGGCCCCAAGGAATATTTGTTCGAGTTGTGGAATATGCTTGACTTTGGTATGTTAGCGATTTTTGCAGCATCATTCATTGCAAGATTCATGGCATTCTGGCATGCTTCCAAAGCCCAGAGCATCGTCGATGCAAATGATACCTTGAAGGACTTGACAAAAGTAACACTGGGAGACAATGTGAAATACTACAATTTGGGTGAGTTTACAGTAAACAGTCAATGTAAATTAGTAAAAGTACAGAATTTTCTTGTAAAACAGATGTCAATAGTAGTTTGGTTACTGCCCAATTCTTATAAAATTGGTTGTTAGTTTCCAACATCTGTATGTGAAGAATGAGCATCTATATGTGAGAAACATGCTTTCTGCTTCTTCCTTTGATTTTTCTACTCCCTGGAAAACTCTCTTAATCACAAGACTCATCTCTCTTTACCTCTTAGATCAATTGGCTAATTACCAAACTTCATTGAGAATACCTGTATTATGTCCTGAATTTATTTCCCCCCCTTTTTAATTAAAAATAGTTCACATTTTATCCATCTGCACACACACACATACACAGAGATATATATATATTCAATGGAATACTATTCCACCTTTTAAAAGAAGAAAATCCTGTCATTTGTAACAACATAAATGAACTTGGAAGACATTATGCTGGGTGAAATTAGCTAGACACAGAAAAACAAAAGGTATATGATCTTATTTATTTGTGGAATCTAAAAAAAAGCCAAACTCAAAGAGGTAGAAGGTAATGGTGGTTGTCAGGGGTGGGGTAAGGGGCATAAAATGGAGAGATGTTGGTCAAAGGTACAGAGTTTACAAAGGGTACACAGTTAGGATTAATAAGTTCTGGAGATATACAACATGGTGGCTGGAGTTAATAATGTACTGTATACTTGAAAATTGCTAAGAGAGTAAATTTTAAATGTTCTCACCACAAAAAAGTAAACATGTGAGGTGAAGAATATGTTAATTTGCTTGACTTAATCTTTGTGCAATGTATACAGACATTTATGAAAACACCAAGTTGTGCCCCATAAATATATATTAAAAAAAAGTTCACATTTGAGTACCATGTTCATTTAAGATATATAAAAAGTACTTGAAAGCAAAGGAATTGTTGGGATCTCTGAGAGGGCCCCCCATCAATAACACTACTATTTCCCAACCAGGCTTTGAATTAGTGGAGAAATAAAACAAGGGATTAATATGGAGGCCAGATCATCACCGCTTACACTGATAAAATCCAGGATGGATGACATAGGCCTGAGTCTATTAGCTAATGGGTTCAGTAATATTGAACCCCAGAATTAGGCAGACATATCTTCCAATTTCTAGATAGCAATGGACCGGGGCAGTCCTCCCCACAAAAAGGGGATGGCAGCAAGTGCCCTATGGAGTGAGATCTTCCATAGAGGACCAGAGGAGAATTCCCAAGAGAGAAAAGGTAACACCTAACCAGCTATGCTCAGTTATTCATCCCAATTTAGCCATCAGATAAGTCATTCCAGCTTTCCAGGAAGAAAGTGATTAAGGCATGGAATTTGGTTCAGGTATTTACTTAAGGAAACTACCACCTCATAGAAACCTGGATAGAAAAAATATATTTTCTTTGAATTCTTTTTTCAAACCCTCTGATAAGACATTAGTTAACATTCACTTATGAGTTTATTGGTAATATCACATAAGGTCTCCATTATTAGTATTTAATGTTTTAATGTTTAATATTAAGATTCTTAAAAGTAAACTTGATTTTAAAAATTCAAAGCTGTCTATTAGATAATGCTTGCATTCAAAGCACTATAAAAAATAAAACTGCATTTACTGGTTTCTTGTTATCTTTTCCTAATTCCACTTCTCAGCAAATAAACAAATACAAATTTGTAATTATGTTTTTCTCCTTTCTTACACAGTGTTTTGTGTTTTGTGTTTTACTTCATAATGGTTTCTTAATTGCATTTTTGATGACTTAATGTAATAATGCCAGAAAAATTCATAAGTGAGTAATTGCTACATTTTATAGTAAAAATAGACTTGTTTTTAAAAGTGACCAATAAAAGTTACTCCTAATAAATTTAAATGACCACAAATATGCTACAAGCCAAAAATTATATTATAGTGTAATTATAGTTTAAGACTGAATAATAAATGCTACCATTTATTAAGTGCCAGGCACTTGCTAAACACTGAACATAAGTTGACTTATTGAATTCTCACGAAGATAAGAGAGTTAGAAGGGATATTACCTCATTTTCAAAAATGGAGAAACAAAACTAAGAGAAGTAGTTTGCGTAACTTCTTTCAGTTTTGTGTGTGTATGTGTGTGTGTGTGTGTGTGTGTGTGTGTGTGTGTGTGTGTTTATAAATATAAATACATGAATTTTTACAGATACTGAGTTTCTAGTCTGAACTCTTAACTATTATGCTATCCCCTTATGGGAAATTGCCGGCAAAACCAGGAGAGTCATGTTCTTAATAAGCATCTGCTATGTTTGAGCTTCTTAGTTTAAGAAGCCCTTTAAGATGGGAGATTTCCATTCGAAAACTAGAGGATCACACACTGGGGTCTGTGCAGGGGAACTTGGGGAGGGACAGTGTGGGGTGGGGAGTTGGGGAGAGATAACATGGGGAGAAATGCCAAATATAGGTGATGGGGAGGAAGGCAGCAAACCACGTTGCTGTTTATGTGCCTATACAACAATCCTGCATGTTCTTCACATAAACCCCAAAACCTAAAACGCAATATAAAAAATATATATATACATATATATATATATATATGTGTGTGTATATATATATATGTATATGAAAACTGGATTCTAATATGTTTTTTTCTCAAAAAAATAAGTTACCTAAATAAACTCACACGTCTTTGTCTTTGCTTTTTTCTAGCCAGGATAAAGTGGGACCCCTCTGATCCTCAAATAATATCTGAAGGTCTTTACGCAATTGCTGTAGTTTTAAGTTTCTCTAGGATAGCTTATATTTTACCAGCAAATGAAAGCTTTGGACCTCTGCAGATCTCACTTGGAAGAACAGTCAAAGACATCTTCAAGTTCATGGTCATATTCATTATGGTGTTTGTGGCCTTTATGATTGGAATGTTCAACCTCTACTCCTACTACATTGGTGCAAAACAAAATGAAGCCTTCACAACGTATGTAATCTCAGATGTTTTGATGATAGTTATTGCAAATTAAATAAATACTAGTTTAATAGTGTTTTTTTAAGTCCATGGGATAAATAATGTTTTGGTAAAGATTTCATGTCTAGTTCCTCTTTTGCAAAATGAGAGGGGGTTTTAAAAATGAGTTGGAGGGGCTCTAAAATGTAGGAACCTTTCTAATATTAAATAATGATAACATTTTTAGAGCCAATAAATACCTTGCATGCCTCCCTTTTTTACCTCTGTTTCACTAAGAAGAAACTGAAATTTACAAAAATTAAGTAATTTGCTGAATATTCCAAAGTGGGATGTGGAACAGCCAGGGTGTAACCTTTGCTTGCTCCTTCTAGGGTCTGTTACTCTGAACTCCCTTGCCCTCCTGCCTGTGGTACTCCAGGGGACAGTAACTATGAAAACAGCTGCTTTCCTAATTGAATTTCTCAGATCTTATCACTGAATAGATCTGACGTACCAACAGTGATGAGTTTTGACTTATGTTCAATGTGGAAGTGTGCTTTTTTATAAAGTATGTTTGGGACAGATTATTAAAATATTCGGTCTTCAGTGCTACAATGAGAAGTAACAACTGAAACATAAGCCTACCGTTTTCCATATTTCTCTAAAATACAGTTTGCCAGGGAAATGAAACCACCTGAGTTAAGCAAATTGGCTTAGCTTTGGTCAGTAATTATGCCTAAAGCATTGAAATTCCTACCTACGACGTGTCAGTGATTATGGTAACACTGTTTATATTGTCATATTTTCCATTAAGATGTATATGATTATTATTTATTGGATACACATAAAAGTATAGATCAGCAGTAAACTTAAAATGATTCTAACAAATTATATTATTTTTAAGTAGTACATTTAACAATTCCATTCCCAAAACTATGGATTAAGTGTTCATATCTGTGGTTATGAAATTATGTTCATAGCATTTATTGGGTGCTTATTATGTATTTAGGTATTGAGCTGTGATTGTGTACTTCATATGCACAATATTATCCCATCCTTGCAACAATCCTATTGTAACCATTTTATAGAAAATAAAAGTCAGCTTCAGAGAAATGAAGAATATTTTAAATAAATTCTCACTAATTTGTAAAGACACTAAACCGGCTCACTTTTATTATGGTACTATTGTTATTTATTTATACTTTCTTATTTCTTTTATTTTTTCCCAGAGTTGAAGAGAGTTTTAAGACACTGTTCTGGGCTATATTTGGACTTTCCGAAGTGAAATCAGTGGTCATCAACTATAACCACAAATTCATTGAAAACATTGGTTATGTTCTTTACGGAGTTTATAATGTTACAATGGTCATTGTTTTGCTAAATATGTTAATTGCCATGATCAACAGTTCATTCCAGGAAATTGAGGTATAATCTCAATACATTTTATCATTTGTGCCTACATGTTTTAACTATTCCAAGAACTAACTCAGCAATGAGGATGAGAGTATGGGCTGCTGTTTCCCCTTCATTCATTTCCTGTTTTATATACTTGTTTGATCTTTGCTTCCAAATGTAATATCAATAAGGTATAGTGGGGCAGTAAGGCATAAGAAGCAGAAATGCTGATTTGTTATTCATTTAATAAAAAATTTTAGAAATACTATATCAGCATGAGTTTATATTTTATTCAAAAAATTATTGTTTATGAATACCATTATTCTCCAAGTCTTTTCTGAGTGATATTCAAAATTAACCTTTTCTCAAGTTGAGATTAATAGTAGGAATTTTTATTCCAGAAATCTTGATCTGTGTCCCAAATAACTGAGTGGTATATTGCAGGATAAAATAGAGAATAATTTTTCTTGGTGTTTTTCAGAAAGTAGGAAAACAGATTTATATCTATCAGATATTTATAAACACATGGGAACTTGGAGATTCATAGTCCTGTAAGACTGTCAAAATTTTAGACAAATTTAAGAAAGAGTGTGTGAATAGAATGTTAACATTTTGAAAAAATCTTGGAACCATCACTGGGGTCTGAGAGTGTTTGTTGGCATTGTTCTCCATCTAGCCACACAATGTTAAAAGCCTCCCAGTAATTCTGTTTATGCATTTCCTTCCTGAACTGCCATGTGTATTTGTATAGGATGACGCTGATGTGGAGTGGAAATTTGCAAGGGCCAAACTCTGGTTTTCCTACTTTGAGGAGGGGAGAACACTTCCTGTTCCCTTCAATCTGGTGCCAAGTCCAAAGTCCCTGTTCTATCTCTTACTGAAGCTTAAAAAGTGGATTTCCGAGCTGTTCCAGAGTCAGAAAAAAGATTTCCAGGAAGATGCAGAGATGAACAAGGTAACTTCACTTGATACTTTTTAGTTGTATTCTTAAATGCTGTGACTACTGTAACCACTGTGCCACATCCCTTTAAAAAGCAGCAGTTCCTGATGACGTGTCCATTCGTGACTACTGTAACCACTGTGCCACATCCCTTTAAAAAGCAGCAGTTCCTGATGCTCTAAAAGTTCCTGATCCCTTTAAAAAGAAGCAGTCCATCCATCCCATATGCAGCCACTTCACACAGTACAGTCCTTTGGTTTCTGTCTGTTTAACATGAGCACACTGAACGTTTCCTACTTAAAAGAATATAAGAAAAATTCATGAAGTATAACTAAAATAATGTGTTGTGTTATGTGGAGTGAGTACTGAGAGAAGAGCTGTGCTGGGCTGCTTTTTTGCTGTTGTGGCTTCATCTCCCTACCTTCTTTTTCAATTTATAGAGCCAGGTAAAGTATCAGCAGCTAGTTATGCCTGGGGGGCAACTTGATGAACTCTTAGATACCCTCCACAATGAAAAGTTCAGAAATCAGTTGCTCTCATGCAATTTGGGAGACCAGGCTTGGCAATAAGCAGTTCAAGAAAGAAAGCGCTCAGGACATTGATTGAAAACAATAATCCCTCAAGGTGATGAAGTCTTTAAAAAACCATGAAAAGATTTAGTGCTTAGATGAGGCAGTAGGGCCATCACAACATGTTCAGATATGTTTAGAGAACATGTGGAATTTGTATCTAACTGGAGGGGGAAAGTGAGCAATTATGCTGTGCAAAGATCCCTGCTGAGCACAGACCACTATACTCAGAAGGAGCACTGAGATACCGGTTGCATCTAGAGGAGGAGGACCAGAATGGGACACATATGGATATAGTGTCATATGAGGGAGAACTGAAGGAGCTGGCTGTTTCTTCTGAAAAAGGAACATTGAAGATGACCAAAAATGTCTTTATGATTTCCATCTTTAATTAGGAAGTACACTTGTTTTTCCAAAATGGGAAGAGAAGCAATGGGCAAAAAATTCAAGTAGTTAAATTTTAATTTGGTCTAAGAACAAACTTTTAACAAGAAAATCTGCCCAACAGAAGAGTGGGCTGCCTTTAGAAGTAGTGAGCTTCCCACCATTGTAAGCAGTCAATAAATGCCAGGTGGCTGACAGTGGGAATTTATTGAAGATTTTTCCTTCTTACACTGCATGGGCAATTGGGCCAAATGACTATAAAGTTTCCTTGGAACAATAAGATTCTATCATTAAGTAAAAGGAATGTTGCAATTCCTGCACTGTTTGTTTGCAATTTACTATTTAGAGTTCTCAAGTAAATAACACATTCTCTTGAGTTCTAGTTTCCTCATCTGTCATATGTGAAAAAATTATATCTACATCCTGATGATCAAATAAGCATATAAAAGTACTTTCAGAATTTTAAAGCTTTCTTTAAATGTAGTTATGATTAATTTGTGCAGAAACTTTGGAAACATATACCATCTATGACATTGTTCCAGAAATATAACTTATAGAACTCAGTGGATTGAGTGGCAAAAAATTCCCCTTCTTTCTTTTATGTAATTAAATTAGTGGTTTACAGGTCTGGTTAGAATTGCAGCTTGAGGGAATTCAGAGTCCAAAGGAAACGTCCCAGCACTTGCCAAAGGGAAGAACCCAGTAAGAATATGTTCCTTTCATTAAACTTGTTGGGGAATTAGACCAGATGGCTTTTAAAATATGGAATGAAGAGTGAAACTGGTTCTGCAGTTATACTCATTACACGTTCTGTCTTTAAAAGATAAATGAAGAAAAGAAACTTGGAGTTTTAGGAAGTCGTGAAGACCTTTCAAAATTATCGCTTGACAAAAAACAGGTAAGCTAATATTTGAAAATATGAAATCATGCATATGAGCAGGTTTGTCTTTTCAGAGAAAGGGACAGATATTCAGAAGCAGTTTTAAGAAGTAGAGAACAGACACATTAAAGAATTCAACTATTTTAACAATTCTCAAAAATTCCGTTACTGAGAGGTGGAAGTAAGCCTATAACTTGATAAGCAAAAAAGAATTATATTTAAGACATATATTAAGCACATACGTATGGTGATGGAATATAGGACTAGTCATACAGAGGGGAGAATATGAAGAGATGAATCTGTCAAGAACCTGATGGAGGATATGATTAACTTCACTTTCTGCAGCTCAGGTAGAGAGCACACGTGGTCCCCAATGCCTCCTAATTTGTCAGTAATCAAGAAGTGATGGAAAAAGGCACTGTGGGACCTTAATGGCTATTGTGGTAGACACCGTTTATAATGAATGATGTGTTCTAGAGATCTGTCAGTTCCTTCGCTGGGAGTCGCGAAATCCTCAACAATGAGGACGTTTCATTTTTTGTGGGATGCACATAGTAAGGGCACAATAAATGCTTGTTGCTAAAAGGGATAAAGGAATGAATTAGGAAAAGGGCAAGGTATCAGGTAGGACTTACATTCAATTACACATAGTAATATAAAATCCAAATCATGTGGTTTAAACAAAACAGTTGTTTCTTCCCTGCCTCATTTAACTCTCCAGATTTAGACAGTATGTGCCTGTTGTCAGGCGTGGGTTTCTGTGATTCTCTTGGATTTTTTTCATAGTCAGGTGTAAGAGGACAGCTTTTCCTTCTGCTACTGTAGCCACTTTTCAGGCATGTTAGGAGTAAGGGCAAAGGAAACGTAGGGCATGCTAGCTTAATCCGCCACCACCCTCAGAAGACTGTCCCAAAAATTTCTGTTGTTATATCTCATTGACCAGAACATGCTACATGGCCATCCCATGGAACCCAAATGCCAAGGAGGGAGACTGTTTTTGTGTGTGTGTTTTAAGCTGGTTATGTTACCTCCCCCAACAACATAGGAATCCTTTTACGGCCTATCTGATATCCAGCCACCCAGCCTCCTTTCTAACCATCGCTTCCACTAGCATGTCAATAATTACCTATTACAAATCAGAACAAAAAGGAGAGCTTTAAGTAAGGGAAACACTAAACCATTAGCCCTAGGAAGATTAGGAAATTTGACTGGGAGGAGCTTCCAAAGAACAGTTTCACAGGTAGGAAGGGCTGCAGTTGGAGGTAGCATGTGGGTGAGAGACTTATGCATGAATTCTGTGAGCCCTGCCACAGTCTGGGGCTCAGCCATAGCGATGGGGCCACGTGGGTTGAGAGTAAGACAGCAAGAAGGCAAGTAGAAATCATCCCTGGTCATCCAAGAGAGTCAGCAGATTAGGGTCATTGCAAATTGGCACATTCTTGCTGTTCAGACAAGTTACGTTTGTCTTGCCTTTCCATGCGAATCTAGATTGCATTTAAAAATGATTGCAATAAGGGAAATTTAAGACATGGAAAATAAGTTATATAACAGAGCTCCAAAGTCATTTCACTCTAGAAAGATAGTTTAGTAGTTAGGAGGCTAGTGTAGGTGGTCAACAAATCATAACCCTCAGGCCACATTCAGTCTTGAGCCTGTTTTTGTTCAGACTGAGAGAGATTTTTAAAAATTACATTTCTAAAAAGTTATGAAAAAATGAAGGATATGTGAGAGAGGCCATATGTGGCCCACGAATCCTAAAATATTTATTACCTATGCAAATGTAATGTCTCATAAAGAAATGGCTCTTTTTGTTATTTGGTTCTAAATGTCAATAAATTTTTTGCAATAATAGGTCATTGTAAATTGGATCTTACATTTTTCTAGTATGAAAATACTCATGCTGAAAGCATGAAGGATGTATAATAAGTCACTAGGCAGATAGAAAATTCAAATAGAACCAAAATGTCTTTTTTCTTTATGATAGAAACTACGGTGTCTGTCAAATCAAATAATTTTATTTTCCCTGTAGCTTCTCTAAAAATGTGGAAAATTAAAAATTTTACATCAGTAAAATGTATATTACATATTTAAAATGAGAGTTACACTTTTCATAATATGTATTTTTTTTGTTTTTTTAATTATGCTTTAAGCTCTGGGGTACATGTGCAGCACATGCAGGTTTTTACATAGGTATACATGTGCCAGGGTGGTTTGCTGCACCCATCAACACATCATCTACATTAGGTATTTATCCTAATAATATCCCTCCCTTAGCCCCCCACCCCCGACAAGCCCCAGTGTGTAATGTTTCCCTCCCTGTGTCCGTGTGTTCTCATTGTTCAACACCTACTTATGAGTGAGACCATGCGGTGTTTGGTTTTCTTTTCTTTTGTCAGTTTGCTGAGAACGATGGTTTCCAGCTTCATCCATGTCCCTGCAGAGGAGATGAACTCATCCTTTTTTATGGCTGCATAACATGCCATGGTGTATATGTGCCACATTTTATTTATCCAGTCTATCATTGATGGGCATTTGCGTTGGTTCCAAGTCTTTGCTACTGTGAACATTGCTGCAATAAAAATACATCTGCATGTGTCTTTATAATAGAATGATTTATAAATCCGTTAGGTATGTACCCAGTAATGGGATTGCTGGGTCAAACAGTATTTCTAGTTCTCCATCCTTGAGGAATTGCCACACTGTGTTCCACAGTGGTTGAACTAATTTACACTCCCACCAACAGTGTAAAAGCGATCCTACGTCTCCATATCCTCTCCAGCATCTGTTGTCTTCTGATTTTTTAATGATCACCATTCTAACTGATGTGAGATGGTATCTCAGTGTGGCTTTGATTTCCATTTCTCTAATGACCAATGATGAGCTTTTCTTCAAATGTTTGTTGGCTGCATAAATGTCCTCTTTTGAGATGTGTCTGTTCATATTCTTCACCCACTTTTTGATGGGGTTATTTTTTCTTGTAAATTAGTTTAAGTTCTTTGTAGATTCTGGATATTAGCCCTTTGTCAGATGGGTAGATTGCAAAAATTTTTTCCCATTCTGTTGGTTGCCAGTTCACTCCAATGATAGTTTCTTTTGCTGTGCAGAGGCTTTTGAGTTTAATTAGATCAGATTTGTCTATTTTGGCTTTTGTTGTCATTGCTTTTGGTGTTTTAGCCATGAAGTCCTTGCCCATGCCTATGTCCTGAATGATATTGCCTAGGTTTTCTTCTAGGATTTTTATGGTGTTAGTTCTTATGTTTAAATCTTTAATCCATCTGGAGTTAATCCAGTTTCAGCTTTTTGCATATGACTAGCCAATTTTCCCACACCATTTATTGAATATGGAATGCTTTCTCTATTGCTTGTTTTTGTCAGGTTTGTCAAAGACCAGATGGTTGTAGATGTGTGGCATTATTTGTGAGGCTTCTGTTCTGTTCCATTCATCTATCTCTGTTTTGGTACCAGTACCATGCTGTTTTGATTGCTGTAGCCTTGTAGTATAGTTTGAAGTCAGGTAGCATGATGCCTCCAGCTTTTTTGTTTGTTTTGCTTAGGATTGTCTTAGTTATGCAGGCTGTTTTTTGGTTCCATATGAAGTTTAATGTGTTTTTTTCCAATTCTGTGAAAAAAGTCAATGGTAGCTTGATGGGAATAGTATTGAATCTGTAAATTACCTTGGGCAGTATGGCTATTTTCATGATATTACTTCTTCCTAAGCATGAGCATGGAATATTTTCCATCTGTTGTTTCCTTGAGCAGTGGTTTATAGTTCTCCTTGAAGAAGTTTTTCATATCCCTTGTTAATTGTATTCCTAGGTATTGTATCTCTTTGTAGCAATTGTGAATGGGAGTTCACTCATGATTTGGCTCTCTATTATTGCTGTATAGGAATGCTTGCGATTTTTGCACATTGATTTCGTATCCTGAGACTTTGGTGAAGTTGCTTATCAGCTTAAGGAGATTTTGGGCTAATACGATGGGGTCTTCTAAATATACAATCTTGTCATCTGCAAATAGAGACAATTTGACTTCCTCTTTCCCTAATTGAATACCTTTTATTTATTTCTCTTGCCTAATTGACCTGGCCAGAACTTCCAATACTCTGTTGAATAGGAGTGGTGAGAGAGGGCATTCTTGTCTTGTGCCAGTTTTCAAAGGGAATGCTTCCAGTTTTTGCCCATTCATTATGATATTGGCTGTGGGTTGGTCATAAATAGCTCATTATTTTGAGATACATTCCATTAAGACCTAGTTTATTGAGAGTTTTTAGCATAAGGGGCTGTTGAATTTTGTTGAAGTCCTTCTCTGCATCTATTATGTGGTTTTTGTCTTTGGTTCTGTTTATGTGATGGACTACGTTTATAGATTTGCATATGTTGATGAAACCAAGTTGATTGTGATGGATAAGCTTTTTGATGTACTGCTAGATTCAGTTTGCCAGTATTTTATTGAGGATTTTTGCATCAATGTTCTTCATGGATATTGACCTAAAATTTTCTTGTTTAGTTGTGTCTTTGTCTGGTTTTGGTATCAGGATGATGTTGGTCTCCTAAAATGAGTTAGGGAAGATTCCCTCTTTTTGTACTGCTTGGAATAGTTTCAGAAGGAATGGTACCAGCTCTCTTTGTACCTCTGGTAAAATTCGGCTGTGAAACTGTCTGGTCCTGGGCTTTTTCTGGTTTGTAGCTTCTTAATTGCTGCCTCAATTTTGGGCCTTGTTATTGGTCTATTCAAGGATTTGACTTCTTCCTGGTTTAGTCTTTGGAAGGTGTAAGTGTCTAGGAACTTATCCATTTCTTCTAGATTTACTGGTTTATTTGCATATAGGTGTTTGTAGCATTCTCTGATTGTAGCCTGTATTTCTGTGCCATTGGTGGTGATATCCCCTTTATCATTTTTTATTGCATCTATTTGATACTTCTCTCTTTTATTGTTTACTACTTTGGCTAGTGGTGTATCTATTTTGTTGATAGTTTCCAAAAAAAAAACCAGCTCTTGGATTCATTAATGGTCTGAAG